ATTCTGTATTTCTACATTTTACAATTTGAAGCAAGTATTGGCTCTCACGCACATGTTCTGAATACCATTTAATGTCTGGAAAATCAGGAAGATCTTGTTCACCTGCCCCAACATATGTTGCATTAGCATTATAGCCATCAATTTCGATTGAACTCCATACTTCAGCTAATACATTTCCTGCAAATTCGAAATTAGATCTTTCTAAATGTTCATCAATTGTAACGCCACGTTCATCCAAATGAGACCCAAAATGGTCATGAGGCAATATTAAACCTGCCAGTTCCCGACTAAGAGGAGCCATTCTGCGCTCTACTCTGTTATACGCACTTCTTTCAGGAGCATTGGTAGCTAAAAACAATGCATCGAGATCATCTCGCTTAAAGTGTTGTATAGCAAACCCTATGACTTTTTGATAACGTGAATTTTCATCTGGCCCTCCATCAACCGTCATGATTACCACTGGTTTTACTAGTCCATGGTCAGTTTTAGCTAATGGTCGAAACCCTTCAAGTTCGAGAAGCACCTCGAAATCCTAAGCATGAGTATTAGCAGTAGATGAACTGTGCTTTCCACTTCGAATAGCGATGTATGTTGGTCAAGAATATGCAACGGCTTGCGGTTGTCCTAGCATATTGGAAGTGATTTTGATACCAGCATAAACAGATGGTATTAATTTATGACGCTCAGCGATTACCCAATCGTGATCAGGCAATTTGATTCTATATTCCATGTGCATTAGAAGAGGAGCTTGCTTATTTGCCGCAGTTACGCCAATAGGGACTCGAGCTTTATCATCTTGAGATATGAAAAATACTTGATCTGGTCCAAGTATGGATACTATGTTCTCTAAATAATGGATTGATGTTTCAGCGAATTTGCTATCTAAGTGGCTCTTGTGGTGATCAGTTTGAGCCCGAATGAGCTTAACAGAGACTGTCGATACATGTCTTCATCCCTCTGCAGAATTAGATTTTCTGGGAATCAAACGAAGATATGTCCCACTGCGACTAATGTCAAATCCTATTTTACGTAATTCTTGTGTGAGTTCATCAAAAGTTTTTACGCTGCGAATTGATTCCGTTAGTCTTCTATCATCTGATGCGCTCCCAAATAAAGCTATATCCGCGATTGTTTTCAATAGTGAATGTTGATTGCTTTCAAGATTAGGACGTCCCACTGAATCCCTCAGAGATAGTATTTTTTTATTTCTGGATTTTCATGACAAATATCTTCTAACTTTCTTTTCATACCATCCCTGTGTTTCTTCTGGGCAACTGCGTTTTGAACCTTCCTGTTTAAAGACTGTTTTTATTTCTTCGCGCAACTTAATGATCTGTTTATCAACTTCAGCACGGCTTGGCATAGTATCTCTGGCAGAATACAAAGCATTCAGATCTTTTTTCGAGAATAGCAATCTTATTTTTCATAGCTTGCTGAGAAGGTTTTGCTCTCTGTTTATCTGTATTTTCATTAATTTCGCATTGCTGTTGTGATTCATTACCGGGTTCTATTTTATCTTCTTCCTCTTTTTTAATATTTGAAGCTGACTGTATAATTTGTGTTTTTTCTGCAGGTGGTTTACAGGATGCCTAAAAATAAAAACTTTCTATGGCTTCTGCTAAAGATTCTCTGATTAAGCTACATAAATACAAATTATGGCAATATATATATGGTAAATACAAAACCCTATGGCTTTAAATGTAATATGTTTAAACGAGCAATTTGTTCCGGTCACAAAATACAGGATGTTAGTTTTCTGTATATATGTATAAAACTAACATCCCGTACTTTGTGACCAATTGACGGAATCAATCATAAGAGATAAATCTATACCTAATATAGGTAATGAATCTTACCTCTATACTTTGAGATAGGCCATAATATTTTCTAATCAGTAAAGAGAAACTTTTTGGCGATTTCTAATATTTTTAGTACTCATAGGTACATAAAATGATTTCGTCACTCACCTTAGAAAAAAAATTTAGTAGGTTGGATTTATTCTTAGTCGCCGCTTGCAATTCTTCTTCGATTCTCTTAGATACAATAATATCTAGTTCCTTGTCGGATTTTGCTTGTAATTTGTAATTTCGCCACACTTCGTTAACTAACTTTTGTACATTTTTTACTTTCGTACCTGTATGAGATTTTTTAAAACTTTGAATTTTTGGTATAACTTGGATTTGCCTATGTGAAACGACATCTTATTTGAACATTAAACTTTGGCTAATGGAATAAATGGTAACACAAATGTTAACTTGCTTCACTATGCTTACAATACGTCTACTCGCTATAGTATCCAAACGAAACAATACACTGATAGAGGAAATTTAAACAAGTAAACACCGCGCGTAATTCCCCTACTCGGTTCTAAAGCGAGTAGGGGAAATACCGCGCGCTGTTCACTAAACGTATGCATTATTTGCGGGAATCCCCGAAAATGCGTTTCGTTTTCAAGCAGACAATGTGAGGGTTGCCATTCGTGTACAAAATTAAATAACTACCGATGACGTAATCATCATCTAGACCCCCTACCCCCCATGTCATCCAAAATAAGCAAAGCAAAGACCCCCCCACCCCCATAGTGCTCACGTAATACTTGAACGGCCCCTAAACTGTTCATCTGAATCGTGGACTCGGCAGGACTCAGCTCTTCATTCGTGAATGATCAGGAATATGCGACAGACGCAGTACGGTTAAGGCGTGAATTCCTCAGTTTCATTCGAATAAATAATGTTGCTGTTGTTGGTGTGGTAGCTATGAATTCTGGAGCATCATTCTCGCAGTGACCCATAACCATGCTTAGAATATTTCTCGCTCCCATTGAAACATGAAACATTCTGTAAAGGGGAGTCACTGCTGACCGTGTGGGAAGAAGAACTTTAAAATTTTATTTATACAGCGATATTGAGGTCCAAGAATGGCATTTATACCAAATATGTGCGTTGACTTTATGTGCTACTCTTTTAATGTGATTTCGAATTTATTTATAAATTTAAATGCGTTGAACTTGGATGAATGAAATTGTTTTATTATTAGAAATAAATGTATAATTTTTGTACATATGATCAATTAGAATATAAATATCAATTATTAGAAATAAATATACAATTTTTGTATATCAAGTGGTTTTGTTCAGTTTCAGGTATCTCTTTCCCTACTTTCTGAATTTCTTGATCAACATAATCGATTTTAAATAAATCGATTATATAAATTATTCATTTTCATCGATTTTTGTAAACAGCGCTGTTTTGGACCACAGATTCAAAAAAATCCATTTAGATAAGGTCGAATTCTTGACAACAGCAATAAAATATAAACAGATGATTGAACTTGACCATCAGAAATGATGATAATTCAATAGCGGCAAGTTCTAAAGTATCTGTAGCATTCTAAGATATATAATAATAATAATAAATATCTTTATCATAGCAACACAGCAATAGTGCTTAAATATGTACGAGGGATGTCGTTTAAGTTTTGCATATAGGAACATCGTACGATGCGCGGATCGAACGTCAGTACTGAATCTTAACCTCACTCTTTATTAAACTTAAATTCAAAGTTTCACAACAATACGTGCAGTGTTCTTACTACAGTGAATTTTTAAGCGTCACCAAGTCATTAGAAAAATGGAACTCAACCTAGAACACTTTCGCGCCATAATTTATTACAACTTTCAGAGACAATTATCGCAACAAGAATTCCTTGCCGAGTTACTGTCTGTTTTCGGCAACGAAGCGTCACATCAGTCGACAATTTCCCGTTGGTATGGAGAATTCAAACGTGGACAGGTGAGTCTTAGCGACGATCCCAGGGTGGATGCACCAAAAACGGCAGTCACCCAGGAAAACGTCGATGCTGTGCGCAAACTCATCATTGAAGATAGACATGTGACATATCGCGAGATTGAGGCGATCTTGAAGATCTCAAAGGCCTCAATTCAAAAAAAATTACATGAAGAATTAGGATTAGAAAATTAGTTTCTCGTTGGATACCCCACCTGTTGACTGAAGAGCAGAAAGCAGCCAGGGTTAATTGACGCTTGACCGTTTCAATTCCGGAAACTCAAAAAATGTGTACAGCATTGTTAGTAGTGATGAATCGTGGATTTACTGTTATGAACCAGAAAATAATCGACAGTCGGCTGTTTGGGTGTTCCAAGGTGAAGAAAAGCCGACAAAAGTCATCCGTTCTCGAAGTGTTTCTAAAAAGATGGTCGCGACATTTGTGTTAAAAGCGGGTCATATTGCAACAATTCCTCTTAATGAGCAAAGAACTGTTACTACGGATTGGTATACCACCATTTGTTTGCCAAAAGTCATCACCGAGCTTCGAAAAATCAACCCCGAAAGAAGAATCATCCTCCACCAAGACAATGCAAGCTCGCACACAACCCAAAAAACAAGGCAGTATTTAACGGAAGAATACGTGGAATTATTGGACCATCCTCCATTTAGTTCCGATCTAAGTCCTAACGATTTCTTTACTTTCCCGAAAATTGCGTGGAGAATACTTCGAAAAACAATGAAGTCATTTAAAGCTAGGCAGCAGCGGTGGCCGCAGTAGTAGACTCTTCGGTCTCCTGATCAGTCGCCGTGCGCTGTGCGGGTTCGAGCCCCGTCCCAGGAGAAAGTTTTCTCTTGGCTATGGATGTTGTGATTGTCCGTAGGTGGTAGACGGTTTCTGACTGTCGAACGCGGAGGTCCCACCCGGCGGATCTCGTAGGCGGAGCCAGAATGTGTGCATGTTGGATGCACACGTGTTCCCTATCCAGAGTCCGTGGGGCGTTCCCCCTTTCCCCTGTATCCCCTTATAGCCCCACGGTACCCAATGGGTGTTTAGGCCTTAGGCCTTCGTGGTAGTTGGAGTATAAAAAAAAACTACCTACCGTGTTATTTTATCTCCATATGCAAAACTTAAAAGACATCCCTCGTAGCTCCAGTTTTCAATCAGCGACATTCCACCACTTATAGAATCACTGATACATTAATCTGATCTTACGGTAATAGAAGATGTCATGGTCATAAGCTAGGACGAGTAGTTTAGGATTTTCAAATAGATATTTTAGGAATTTACCGTGTTCTTCAGCTGCATTGTGTGGTAAAAATATTATGACGTGCATGGTTCGCTTTAGTCGTCCGTAATACTGGTTGCCGACCTCTGAGTTGACAAATAAGACAACAAAAAGTAAGGTTATAGTTCGAAAACATTTTGAAACCGTCATATAAAAAAGGGACTATCCAGATTTTTTTGAATTCCATCTTGGGTGATCTGGATCGTTGAATAAATTTATTGTTAAAATGTACAAAACATTGGTAACACGCTTGGCTTCAAAAAACGTTGTGGCCCCACAATGTTTCACCCTTGCCAATATGCCTTTTCATCATGTACCCATCGTTGTGGAGCAATCAGGAAGAGGTAAGAGATATTCATCCACATATTAGCAGTACATCGGATACCTTGCATTAAAAAAAAAAATTCTTAGCTCTATACAGTCAAATCAGGAATGCAACTCGGACAGCCTATTGAATGCCTTTATTTGAAACCAAAGAAATGCTCTACAATCCTGACTGTAAATATACTTCAATGGTGAAATTGTTCCAGGTGAACGAGCTTTTGATATATACTCGCGCTTGCTTAAAGAGCGTATCATCTGCCTGATGGGCCCCATCAATGATATCACCAGCTCTCTAGTGATTGCCCAGTTACTTTTCTTACAAGCTGAATCTACTACGAAGCCCATTCATATGTATATTAATTCACCAGGGGGGGTGATATCCTCGGGACTTGGTATTTATGATACTATGCAGTATGTATTGCCTCCGATTGCTACTTGGTGTGTAGGACAAGCGTGCAGTATGGGGTCACTTCTTTTAACTGCAGGTAAGCTATCAGTTGTAATAGTACTAATAACAACTAGGTTATAATGTGTATCTAAAAAAATATTATCAATGTTTAGAAAGTAATAAATCATGAAACTGTCCTGTTATTATAAAAAATGTCTGCCATTACCATTAAGAAAATAAAAATAGCCGCCTATAAAGTCTACACAGTTCTAGTGCAAGCTTTCTCCTAAACTTAACTTTCGTTGAATTCGAAGCTCTGCAGATGATACGAGATAAATCTCGAGTATCTGTTTGGTCAGCCTTTATTACTATGTATCATAACTTCATATCTTAAATACAAGTTTTAGTCATTCATATACAAAAGTTTCCAAGCTTCTATCAGACTTGTTCCTTATGGCTCTGTTCTTTATATGCAGGTACTAAAGGAATGCGAAATTCATTGCCAAATGCCCGGATAATGATACATCAACCTTCAGGTGGGGCGACAGGTCAAGCCACTGATATCATGATCCAAGCTGAGGAGATTGTCAAGTTAAAAAAACAAATTAATAATCTCTATGTGAAGCATACGGGTATGCCGCTAGAAAAAATTGAAGCAGGTATGGAAAGAGACAATTTCATGAGCCCAAACGAGGCATTGCAGTTTGGTTTGATAGATAATGTTCTCACAACACCACCTAAGAGTAAAGTGGAGGATTCAGATCCAAAGAAATGTGATACGGTTACCACGAAGAAATCTAGTAGCAGCCCACAATTGAGAACTTATTCTAAAAAAAGTTTATGAGAGTTTTTGTGTCGTTGATATTTTGTTATTAAAAAAAATATATATAAGTAATATATATATCTTGAAAGATGAGGTCAATGACCTTCCAACCGTGATCCTCATTTGGACTGTGGTGGTTCTTGTCAAAAACAGCGTGTTCCTGTAGTTTTTACAGAAATGGCTGTCTGCTCCAAACTATGAGTTAAAAATGTTTTCAAAGTGAAACTATCCTCTCTGATATTCAGCTAATCAAATTTAAATGGAATTAGGAAAAATTATATTATTTTTTACAAAATACATGTACATTAATGCTAAGTACTCGATGAGAGTCACATTGGAAATGCTTATTTCATTTGATAAAATAGTTTCTGATGTAGTGTATCTCATGTAACTGTTATTCCAGCATCCATTCACATTTACATTTTCGTGTCATTGTTTTTTATGTTTTCTCCAGAAGTGTTTATTTGTTGTGCGGATTATTAATTGCTATTGAAAATCGGAAATGTCAAATTACTTTACGCCGTCTTAGGTGAATATTAGAACAGATTCGAATTAAATACATCGATAGACTCTTAAGTTATCATTAAAAGGTTTTAATGAATAATTTAAAATATATCCCTGTTATTCGTATTTTGCTAGATTTTTAATTACGCTTTATACAACTGTTTTATATAATTTATTTGTTAATAAAAATATTTTTCATGGATTGGTTTTATTTTATTATTATCAATATTATAATTCTTACAAAATAGAAATGAGCAGAGTAGAATACTATAAGCTCATGTACAAAAGAACACATATCGGGGTTGCATGGAAGAGCAACGGTGTTGAATGCCGCCTCCCTCATCAAATAATTTTTTGTTTTGTTCGTTAAACCCAAAAATAAAGACACATTATTATACTAAGTGACATATAAATCCGAACACCCAGTTTAAATGGTTTTATTTTAATAAAATTTTGTATAAGTACTTAATGAAGCATAATAAGTAAATGATAAAAATTTCAAAATGATTACACTGCTTTAAAGCCCTTTGACCTTTAATAATGTGTGGATGCACCCTGATGTGCTACGCATTCTCCAACGCGCCTAGGCATGCTTCTGATCAGGTGGTCAATGTCCTCCTGTGGTATCTCATTCCAGGCAACCACCAACTCCTCTCGAAGTGCTTCTAGAGTGTGAGGAGGACGTTGCAAATTGAGCAATCTCCTACCCATCATATCCCACACGTGCTCAATTGGGGATAAGTCGGGAGATCTTGGTGGCCATGGTAACAATGTGACATCATTATGTTGAAAGAAGTCTATTGTGACTCCTGCAACATGTGGTCCACTGGAACCATAAGCTATAGCACCCCAAACCATAACTCCAACAGTGTGATAAACATGTCTTTCAACAAAAAACTGTGGATTCCTCCTTTCACCACGTCGTCTTCTAACCCTGGCACGACCATCGTGCATGCCTAAACAAAATCGAGACTCGTCACTAAAGACAATACTGTTCCATTCCTGATCCCAGAGTGACCGTTGTCTGCACCACTCAAGGCGATTACGTCGGTGTTCTCGAGTTAAAGGGAGGACCCAGTGTGGCCGGTATGAAAACAAGCCAAAACTTCTCATTCGTCGGTAAACACTTCGCATGCCAACAGGTCTTCCGTGTTCTGCAAACCATTCATTTGCAATGGACCTGGTAGTGGAGAAACGGTCCCTTAAGGCCAATAATCTTAGGCGGCGATCTTTACGGTCTGTTGTTCTACGGCGGCGTCCAGTGCCCCTTGCTCTTTGCGTACGGCCTTCTCGAAGCCATGCCTGACAATACTTAACCACAGTGTCTACACTTCTTTGCACTCTAACTGCAATTGCCCGTGTGAAAATTGAAGAACACACAAAAATATTAGTGGTAGATCTCGATTCGCCAAGCTGTGCAAAGTGCAATACCCATTCAATAGAGAAGCATGCTGCCAACCAGCTTAAACATGTCTTCGTGTCGATTTCTTGAAAATTTCGCAGCAGTCAAAAAATTGATTCGCGTGATGGAAAACAGTATTGGACGCAAGTTCATTAACAAAATATTTCATGTGTCTTCTTTTTATTAATATAGCTGGTCAAAGATAAATCTGGATAATAGCCGATTTTAATGTGTTGAAAAATGTGTAGCAAAAAGCTTGCATCAGTGATCTGCTGAACCACAAAGACTTGTTTTTCGTAATCAAGGACGAACTTTGTATCATAAATATCTGCAAGACAGATCTTGTACGAATAACATTTGCAGTAATATAACATAATTTATTGTCTAACAACAAGGCAAACAAGCTTCCATGTGATTTAAGAGATTTTATTTCACAGACTGTAGGTTGTTTTTTACTTAGTACTATGCCAAGAACAAACAAGCTTTATAGTTTTTGATAATCGGTCGAAAAATTCTCTCAATCTTCGCTTTTTGACAATGACGGTATTGCTTAGGAAGTGCAGAATCAACCCACTAGGCGCCGTTTTTATTTAGTTGGTGGAATGTTACTATCCCGTGACAAGGAGATGTATCGGCATGTGCTGAAAGAAAACGTTCGTCAGGATAATATGGTTTAAAGGGATGTGAACGGTACACAACTTATAAATCTTCCTTCTTCATTTGCAGTTGTTCCCCTTAAGTATCCAAAGTGGTTCAACTTTTCAAAATATTCTGTTATTATTGTGTATTATTTTCTTTCCACCATTTCGTCGCATGTTCAGGTAGGTATTCTGTTTTATCCCTATTTATACAGGGTGGCCAATATATAACTGATTTAAATTGCTCGTCATTTTTGATATAGGTACGCATTTCAGTATGTGGCGCCATAGTAGTAGCTTCAAGCACATGTGTCCAATTCAGCATGGATGGCTACACGATCCCACAACGCGTTGTTAAAACGTTTTACTTGAATAATGTCACTTAATCTTTTCTAATTCTGCCCTCTATCTCATTATTATTATATCATCAGCATCAGCAATTAACTAATGTTTTCTGTAGTACATAACTCCATCATCTTGTATACCACACTCACACAAAAGTAGCTTCCAAGGTAGAGCTAAACAATGCTGTAGATAGAGGGTCCCCTTACCTCGGGCTCCTTCTTACGTCAAAAGCTCTAGATATTTTCTCTTCCAATGCGACTTTACTCATAGTCCCGTACGTTGTCATTTTTATCAACTTTATTAGCTTAATCAGTATTCATATAGCAATCTAATAGCTTCATAAAATCTTTCTATGTCGATGGTGTCATATGCCCGCTTAAAATCAATAAACAGTATGTACGCGTAGCCCAACGTTTTGCTCATAATTATTGTAAAGTTTTTTTAGAGGTATAGAACTTTTAATTGCAATAAGACAACGATGGATTTTTTTTATTCGAAAGATAATCTTGTGGCATGACCTTTTAAATAAGATTTCTGGCATATGACTGCCACGGCTGGCTCGATTGTAGTCCAATCTGGACGTTCAATTTTCGATGACTTTTTCCAACATTTGTGGACGTATACCGGCAATAACATGTTGAATGTTCTCTTCCAAATGGTCACGCGTTTGTGGCTTGTCTGCATAGACCAATGACTTTACATAGCCCCACAGAAAAATAGTCTAGCGATGTTAAATCACAAGACCTTGGAGGCCAATTCACAGGTCCAAAACGTGCAATTAGGCGGTCACCAAACGTGTCTTTCAATAAATCGATTGTAGCACGAGCTGTGTGACACGTTGCGTCATCTTTTTGGAACCACAGCTCCTGGATTGTTGAATTCAGGAATGAAAAAATTAGTAATCATGGCTCTATACCGATCACCGTTGACTGTAACGTTCTAGCCATCATCGTTTTTGAAGAAGTACAGACCAATGATTCCACCAGCCCATAAAGCGCACCAAACAGTCAGTTTTTCTGGATGTAACGATATAGACTTGAGGATTAGCTTCACTCCAAATGCAGCAGTTTTGTTTGTTGACGTATCCATTCAACCAGAAGTGCGCTTCATCGCTAAACAAAATTCGCTTATGAAAATCTGGAACAACGGCAATCTCGTTTTGGGCCTATTCAACGAATCTACGCCTTGCTTGATGATCGTTTGGCTTCACTTCTTGCACGAGTTGGATTTTGTAAGCACGCAAGCAAGATCCTTCCGCAAAATCTTCCATAAAGTGGATGGACACATCCAATTCATGTGCTCGATGGCGGATGGACTCATTCGGGTGTTCCTTAACGCTACGCTCTCCAGTAGCAATAGCTTCTTCTGTACGCACCGTACGGCGTCTCTGGGGATGCGAGTTATCAATTAGAGAAAACGTGGTGCGAAAACGTTCCCTGGTTAATCGAATTAACTGCTCTGATGGTCGATTTTGTCGACGATAAAATGGACGTAGTGCGCGATACGTATTCCGCACAGAACCATTATTTTCGAAACAAAACTGCACAATTTGCAAGCGTTGTTCAGACGTGAGTCAATTCATGATGAATCGCCAAACCAAACTGAGAATAAATCACTTGACAGCTGTCAAATCGGTCGCCATCTGCAAAAGTAAAGCCAACTTAACGTTCTATACCTCGAAAAAAAACACCCGTTATTAGAACACCTGCTTAATTGTGAATATTTCTCCCTGCTAACATCGCAGCCTGTAAGAGCTGGTGTTCCTCGGGGTTCGGTCTTAGGACCAATTCTTTATTCGCTTTATATACATGACGTCCCTTGTCCCAGCAAATGTGAATTCTATTTCTATGCTGACGACACTACACTAGTAGTCTAGTCGTGTTCTGGTAACCTGGTTCATGATAGGCCGCAGAGTGTGTTGGAGGAAGTATTGGAGAGGGCGGATCGGTGGCTGATCAAAATTATCTAATAATTCGAAAATGCAGGCAATCTATTGTACTGAAAAACGTCGCGGTAGAGATATCAGTGAATGGACCACGTATGAGAACGATATGTAAGGTATAATTGACAAGGGGTTACCCTAGCAGAAGCATACCGATATTTTGAAAATTAAGTTTCAAATTACGTTTCGGCAGTTTTGTCGCTTGTTGTGCAGAAATGCAAAACTGAGCTTGATCAACAAGATTAGGTTGTATAAAATGGTCATAAGACCCGCAATTACCTACGCATGTGCGGCTTGGTGCTTTCTCGATAAGGCGCACATGCAGAGACTACAAGTCCTGCAAAACAGAATCCTACGCACAATCACCAACGCCCCGTGGTACTTTTCAAATGAGACCATTCACAGAGATCCAAAGAATTACATAAAACAACAGGCACAGCGGCGTTATAATCAAGCGGAATCGCGCAGCAACCCTCAGGTACGTGATTCAGTAGACTACACAGTCGAGCATGTCGCAAACATTCCTCGCCGCGCCTCGCACTGTGCTCATAATTAAACTGTGAATTATACTAAGTGACATACAAATCCGAACACCCAGTTTAAATGGTTTTATTTTAATAAAATTTTGTATAAGTACTTAATGAAGCATAATAAGTAAATGATAAAAATTTCAAAATGACTGCACTGCTTTAAAGCCCTTTGACCTTTAATAATGTGTGGATGCATCCTGATGTGCTACGCATTCTCCAACGCGCCTAGGCATGCTTCTGATCAGGTGGTCAATGTCCTCCTGTGGTGTCTCATACCAGGCAACCACCAACTCCTCTCGAAGTGCTTCTAGAGTCTGAGGAGGACGTTGCAAATTGAGCAATCTCCTACCCATCATATCCCACACGTGCTCAATTGGGGATAAGTCGGGAGATCTTGGTGGCCATGGTAACAATGTGACATCATTATGTTGAAAGAAGTCTATTGTGACTCTTGCAACATGTGGTCGGGCATTATCTTGTTGGAAAGTTGGATCTGCCAGGGTGTCAAGATAGGGTAAAAGATGGGGTTCTAGAACTTCGTGGATATAACGCTACGCGTTCATGTTACCTCTGATGAAGATTAAAGGTGACCTGGAACCATAAGCTATAGCACCCCAAACCATAACTCCAACAGTGTGATGAACATGTCTTTCAACAAAAAACTGTGGATTCCTCCTTTCACCACGTCGCCTTCTAACCCTGGCACGACCATCGTGCATGCCTAAACAAAATCGAGACTCGTCATTAAAGACAATACTGTTCCATTCCTGATCCCAGAGTGACCGTTGTCTGCACCACTCAAGGCGATTACGTCGGTGTTCTCGAGTTAAAGGGAGGACCCAGTGTGGCCGGTATGAAAACAAGCCAAAACTTCTCATTCGTCGGTAAACACTTCGCATGCCAATAGGTCTTCCGTGTTGTGCAAACCATTCATTTGCGATGGACCTGGTAGTGGAGAAACGGTCCCTTAAGGCCAATAATCTTAGGCGGCGATCTTCACGGTCTGTTGTTCTACGGCGGCGTCCAGTGCCCCTTGCTCTTTGCGTACAGCCTTCTCGAAGCCATGCCTGACAACACCTGACCACAGTGTCTACACTTCTTTGCACTCTAACTGCAATTGCCCGAAAAGAAAGTCCAGCTTCCCGAAGTCCCACTATACGGCCCCTATCAAACTCACTAAGTTGACGAAATCGTACAGGTCTCCGTACTCTAGGCATCGTAACCGATCGTAAAGGATGTCAAGAACCAAAATCCGCCAACGTTGATTCTTTACTGCGGCTGAAATATTCATTTTTAGAGCGTTAGTGAATTAAAAAAAAGCAGTATAAAAACCGGAATGTCCAACTGATAAGGCTGAAAATATTTTCACTTGTTATTTACAATAAGATAGATACATTCACCAACTTTTATTAAAATAAAACCATTTAAACTGGGTGTTCGGATTTATATCTCACTTAGTATATTTCACTATAACGTAACAAAATTATTCGCGTAGTCAAACGGATAATGCTTAAGCGTTTTCTGCTTCAAATGATTCACTTCTTTTCTTTGCTCTATTTTTTCTTCCCTTGAACATTTTTGGCACCTGGGTAGCTGCACCTGACAGACTAACAGACCGAAGAGACTTATAGCTAAGACCAAATGTCTACCAGACCGCTCTGACGATCAAAGATAAAGAGTCGTGAATATTGGGGGTTTGCCTCCTCTAAAGCATCCTTGATATTCACCTATTACCTCTTCATATATGACTTCCTTGTTTAGGGTGTGCAGTTCCTTATAGGGCTAGTTTTGCTGTTGTTTCGATGCAGTTTTGATTACCTTCTCTCCCTCGACCAATAACAAAAAATCAAAACGCCCTGTCAACTATTGTGCCGACTAGGTGCCCCTCTCCCGCGCCAATGACCGCCGGTATAAATGAGAAACGATGGCATATAGTGCCTCGCGAATTATTATCAGAGTCCAGAACTTGTCGTTCGCGCAGCAGGCAACGAAGGCGGATTTTTTTGGTTGTCAGAAAAATAAGGAAAGGCAGAAAAAAAGGCAATCTCGTTCGACAGAGCTTTGTGTCCATAGTGAGTAGTTACCTAGAAAAAGGGTGTATCTATCGTTCGCAAAGTTTCAAAATGTAAAAGTGCGACCTCTCTGTGCGTCATGTGCAAGGAATAATAAGTGTACTTTCCATTTAGTTTTGTGGTCTTAAAAATCTCAAACAAGTGTGCAGGAGATTATTTAAGGTAGGCTGTTTTCATAGTACCTTTCATAAACACTAGCTAGTTACATTTCATGATGTGCTCAACTACAAAAAATATACGACAAGAGCGTCATTTTCAAAGTAGCATAATACAATTTCTGTTTTTTCACTAGAAAAGATACAGTGCTTGCAAGTCCATCAAAAGTTAAAACTTATTGTGTGCTTATCTTGGCATTGTCTAGTGTCAGATTTAGGATGTAACGATTTTCTTTTTTCGTGCTTAAAGCTTTGATATTGACGCGCTAAGCGGTCGCAGTAACTCGGATACGTTGAACCTTTTTGATATATCACCAGCTGTGTCGTGCTTTTGAAAAAGATGTAGTAGAATTTTTACATTTTCAAATTCAGGTTCTCGTCTTATCAGAAAATGTTAGAGATTCCTGTGAATCATTTAATAAACCGCGAAGTTGATAATTTGCCAATAGTAGCGATAGCCAATGTATAAATTTATTTTTGTCGAGTCGTCTATTGTCACTTGAAAGTTGACGGATGTCATTTAATTTCAATTTCTAATAAAGCAATGTCTATCCGCTCATAAGCCATTCCAAACTCATTATTGTTTTCTATTATTTGCAATTTATTGCTTATGGTAGACGGATATTGCTATACGAGGGGGCAGCGCTTATAACTCAACAACTAGGCAATCGTCAATCATCAATATTTTGGTTTTGGAAATATTACAGAGTTTTGAGATTTTTTTTATGAAGTGTCCCCTAGAACAGACGATTGATGTAACGTACCATAGCTCTTTGATAGTTTGTAGTCGTTGTAAACAACTAGTTCTACAATTTTAAAGTACGTTTAATAATGAAACAATGTTTTCGTACCAAAATCTTCGTGCGTTTTCTACCTAAAAGTTAGTTTTGTATTGCATTTCACCACCGCCCGATTCCTTAAACTCCAAGATTTGCACTATTTGAATCTCTCGAGCCATACATTGAGCTTAAAACTGGTATAAACACGTAATCACAAACGTAAATTACACTCATTGTCTGAATTACTAAGTCACGTGCGCAGCGGAGACACGTGTTTTGCAATTTTATATGGCTTGTTGGATGCACAATAAACCTCTCATTCTGAAATGGAATAAATATTTGATAATATCGTTCTATCGGCTAGATATTAATAGCTATATGTGTAAAAAAACAGCTTGGATAATAATAATAGCTCATGAGCACAAATCTAAGCTCATGTCTTCCAACGTCGCATTCTTCTGAGTAAACTTGGGCAAAGTAAAACTATGAAGAAATCTGCGGATCCTTTTCTATACCCGTTAATGGATTCCGAGGCCCGTAGTAGTAGCAAACGTTGTCATTGGAAATGTCGTATCATGTAGAGTGAGAAAAATAATCACTCCGTTAGTTCTGATCCATCTCCTAGTTGCAATCTTTGTAAACTGCATTCAAGGATTTGTCAAAGATGGTTGACAAACAATCGAGATGAAGTGCTTCACTATGTCAAGTGTAAGATAGCAGCATCCCCTTCTAAAGGGTTTTCCATTAAGGGCTTGACAACTTTCTTTTTAAATAAAACGCAAACCATTTGAGATATCTCGAAAAATTTATTATTGGATTGAAGTATACTCAAAACATTTATGTATGGAATTCGACCTCGTTCATATGTCCACCACTGGCACGTTCGCAGCGATCGCTTCGTTGAATCCAATTTTCGATTACTCTCCGCTCATTCATCACGAATGGTGGAGAAGGCATGAAAATGCATTCCCAAATCAAGTTTTAATGGCAAGAGATTCTCTGTCAACACCTGCAGAATCAGCGGCTATTGAGTGGAATTTGTGTCTTAAATCGTGGTTAGCGAACGAAAAGCTAATTAAAAATTTTTCATTTCTCTCTATTAGCTGATGAAGAAATGCTTTTATTTCTATTTGAGTTTACAGTTTTATCGTTTTTTTATTTGTTATGAGATGAACAAATAATTGTGTTCAATATCTATTATTTTCTCAGTAACTTCAAACAAAGTCTTTATGTTGTGTATTCATAATCTACTCGTATTCATATTACAAAAATTATCGAGTAAGATCAAGACTACTTGAATTTTTTTTCTTAGTTTTTTTCTTATCAAACACAAATAATAAAAATGTAGCAGGGTGTTATAGGTTTAAAATATTAACAATGAATATTTTGACAATATACAGGGTGACTTCGAAGTTGAGTCATTTATTTTAGCAGTGAGTAGATCTGATCAAAATAAATGTTTTTTTCCTTTACCATTTTTCTGGTAAAATTAGAGTAACAAAGTTATAGCCCTTTGGAAGTTTGAGTACCGCCCTGTCTCAATAATAATATTATGTGCTGGTGTTTGGCAACAACGGATATAATCTGAATAATCTGAATTTGGAACGATGTTTTTACAATTATTTTATTCAGTTGTATACAGTCAGTGTCAGTCGGTAACGCGTGAGTGAATAGTGGTGTCTGTTGCGTGGCTCAAACGAAATAAAAAATGGCACATGTTTATGCGTATCGGTTTCCCAATCGAGTGCAACCAACCCCTCGTGCCTTTGTTAATGTAGTACAACGGGCTCGTGAATCAGGTGACTTAAGACCTCACAGGGTACGGCATGCCGGTGCTCCAAGACCTCACGATCAAATACAGGTCCGCACTGAAATACTTGTCGGGAGGATACTTTATAAAACAAGGTAAATTTTTTTTTAATTTTGTTTTTATTTTTACACACATATTTTGGTTTATCTTCCTTCTACAATCATTATATGAAAATTAATGACTCAACTTCAAAGTCGTATAGTAAAAAACACCAACTTTATCAGTCTCTAATCAAATTTGCAGCATAAAAATAACACATGTTGCAATTACAGCATATAAACCTATTTTCATTTCAATGCAAAGCGAGTCTATAACGCATAGGTGGCTGTGAAAAATAAAAGCCATGACAATTGTTTTTATTAATCACAGCTGTCAGAATACGTTTAAAATAGTTTTGGGTAGTTAAGGTTTTCAAAATGGGTAGAGGAAAGGTTATTAGTGAGAAAATTCGGTTACTGATAATTAAATTTTTTAATTCTGGGAAATCAAACTCAGAAATTTCAACTTTGTTAGACTTATCGCGCTGCAGTGTGAGAAATATTATTAGAAGATATAACGTAACTGGTTCAGTTAATATTAAGCCGCGATATGTGAAAAAAGTAATATCACAAATGCCGACCGAAGAGCATTAAGAAGAATAATCGTGAAAAACAGGCGTGCCAATTTTTTACAATTAAGTGCTCTGTCGAGTGACTCTGTAGAAGCTTCACGAAATAGTCAGCTTTTCATTTTAATGCACGCCCTTTGGAAGTTAAAAAATCACCAATTCGAAGATTTAGGGTAGCACTTGAATCATATTTACTTGATACACACTTGTGAGCGCACAAGCTACAAATAGATAGATTAGTATATTGTAAAAATATGCTAAATTTTAAATTATTATTCCTCAAAATTTTCTCCGCAACCTCCTAACATTGTACAAGGTCCAGATAACACTGCCCACATGATTGGGGTGCTGCCGTCCCGACTATATTATCGACGGTAGATGGTTTTCCGACTGATCGATGAGTCGATGACTCTTCTCTAAAGGACAGTCTCGTGACCCGTTCTTACCGGCGGGCCGTTGACAATCTAGCTATCTTCTACCGCTACGCCAATGGGCTTTACTACTCATTGCTCCATGATGCCGCCGCGCGATGTGCCTGCCAGACAGACCCGCGTGACTTCGGCCTCCCATCCCAACCGTGTCGAACATTCAGAACAGGCCGATACGACCACTGCTTTGCCCCTAGGGTATCGAGATTGTCGAACAATCTAAATAAGGAGGCATTTCCCAGTTCTATTCACCTTAGGCAGTTCAAATATCGGATTAACAAAGTTTCCTTAAATATGCAAACTTGGGCGCCCATGCCCGTTGTCTGTTGTTCATTAACTAAATTCCTAATTGTCCTTTCTTCATCGCTGGATCCGTAGATAAGCGACTGGTTTCCTTTAAATGACCGTCGATCTTGTTTAGACATGGTGATGTCTATCTTTAGATGCCTTTCCGAACAATGCCCTTTGCATGTCAGCAGAATGCGCTGCTCTTCAATCAAGGCTACCTACTTTTTGCGACCTGGCACTCCCAGCAGAACCACACGATCAAACGGTACCGGACATTACTGCCGATCATCTTCCACTCGAAGAGTTCATTGTGGCTATAAATATCTCTTGGGCAGACCGTAAGAGCCGTTTTACACACAAGAGAATTACTCCGAAAATATTATGGTCATAATTATGCCGAAAATGTTTGTTGTCGTATTACACGTAAAAGAATTCTTGTGAAAATTTTCATGGTAAAAATATAAAACCCGTTCTATAGAATATGCGCGAGAATCAGCGCAGAGTTTTATTTCCGTGCATGTCAATATCAAATGTCAACGTCAACAACATAACCTCACTTAACATTTATGGGTGTGGTCCTGTTCGAGTCGTACGAAGAAGCGTTTATTGTTATTGTTTATTGATAATGTCGTGGAATCTGGAAGAAGTGACACTGTTGTTGGAGGAGTACCAAAAATGGCCAAACCTGTACAAGGTGAAGTAACCCAATTACAAGAACAGACATTTGCAGCGTCAGGCGCTGGATGCGATAGTCCAAGCATTGAGAAGTTTTATATTATCCAAGATCTCGATTACAAAAGTAAATTTAAATCAACGACGTCTGTTGTCTTTCCGATTATATTGGACGTCATACCCGTCATGTCCTTTCGAAATATTCGAAAATATTACTCTAATGCGCAGGCGTATCATATGAATTACTCGGAAATTTTGTTTGCTTGTGTCATACAGGTTGTAGAGAAAATCTTCAATATTTTTTCCATGCAAATTTTCGGAGTAATTCTCTTGTGTGTAAAACGGCTCTAGCGTCGTAAAGTTCGAAGAACCCGCAAAAGAAAACCTAGGATGGTCATTCGTCAGTCAAGAGCCGGTTATTACCAGTATCTGAAGAATATAAAGCTTGCGATGTACCTGATGGTCTTTCCCTGGTTGAGGAAGCCAAAACGCCACTCCCTTACTCCCAATCAGCCAGACATGGTTTGTTGTTTTATCATGAACTAGCTGTTACCCGCGACTGCGTATGCTTAAAATTGTTGAGTGAATTAAAATGTTGAAATAAACATATTAGAGTAAAACAAATTTTACGTTGTAAGAAATAGATGTCTGCTTAGTATCTAGTTAGAAAATGTAAATATGTAAATACTTGTGACCCGTTTCGCCCATCTCCGATTCTTATCTGAAGTCTATTCTCAAGAAACTCATAATTGTCAATTTTATGTGTCTAGCAGGAATATCCATTCTAGGGCGGATACCCTTAATTCTTCTTAATTTGGCCCTGTCTCAAAATCCGTCTTAAGTCAAAGTTATTCCGGCAATGTCACAAAATCCATTCATAGCCGACTTACTCTGTCTGTAAGCTACTTTTCGTGATTAATAACTGTAGATATTTTCACGTTTTTCTTCTCTTAGCCTCTTTTAATTCAGCCCTATCGGATAATCCGTTCTTATATGACGTGACGTGACCATAATGGCAAATTGCACGTGCATAGGTCAAATCGTTTCCAAGATTTCGTGATTAATACTTTTGTATGCATCTGCCCTTAGCCGCCATAATCCAACCCGCGCACGAAATCGGTCATATATGTCTGGCCCAAGAGGTACCTTCCTGCTAAATTTCGTATGCATAGGTCGGATAGTGTTCAAGATAAATTATAAATAAGACATGCAAAGCGCCTCCTATCACCAGAATCGACCACTGCGATAGCGCATAGCTGCTATTTGTTGGAACTCTTAAGGAAGTTTGACCACGACAATGGTTTTACTTCGATAATATTATAACAGTTTAAATGGTTTTATTTTAATAAAACTTTGTATAAGCACTTAATGAAGCATAATAAGTAAATGATAAAAATTTCAAAATGAATGCACTGCTTTAAAGCCCTTTGATCTTTAATAATGTGTGGATGCACCCTGATGTGCTACGCATTCTCCAACGCGCCTGAGCATGCTTTTGATCAGGTGGTCAATATCCTCCTGTGGTATCTCATTCCAAGCAACCACCAATTCCTTTCGAAGTGCTTCTAGAGTCTGAGGAGGACGTTGCAAATTGAGCAATCTCCTACCCATCATATCCCACACGTGCTCAATTGGGGATAAGTCGGGAGATCTTGGTGGCCATGGTAACAATGTGACATCATTATGTTGAAAGAAGTCTATTGTGACCCTTGCAACATGTGGTCGGGCATTATCTTGTTTGAAAGTTGGATCTGCCAGGGAGTCAAGATAGGGTAAAAGATGGGGTTCTAGAACTTCGTGGATATAACGCTGCGCGTTCATGTTACCTCTGATGAAGATTAAAGGTGACCTGGAACCATAAGCTATAGCACCCCAAACCATAACTCCAACAATGTGATGAACATGTCTTCCAACAAAAAACTGTGGATTCATCTTTTCACCACGTCTCCTTCTAACCCTGGCACGACCATCGTGCATGCCTAAACAAAATCGATCTTCACGGTCTGTTGTTCTACGGCGACGTCCAGTGCCCCTTGCTCTTTGCGTACGGCCTTCTCGAAGCCATGCCCGACAACACCTAACCACAGTGTCTACACTTCTTTGCACTCTAACTGCAATTGCCCGAAAAGAAAGTCCAGCTTCCCGAAGTCCCACTATACGGCCCCTATCAAACTCACTAAGTTGACGAAATCGTACAGGTCTCCGTACTCTAGGCATCGTAACCGATCGTAAAGGATGTCAAGAACCAAAATCCGCCAACGTTGATTCTTTACTGCGGCTGAAATATTCATTTTTGGAGCGTTAGTGAATTAAAAAAAGGCAGTATAAAAGCCGGAATGTCCAACTGATAAGGCTGAAAATTTTTTCACTTGTTATTTACAGTAAGATAAATACATTCACCAACTTTTATTAAAATAAAACCATTTAAACTGGATGTTCGGATTTATATGCCACTTAGTATATTTTGGTCTGTAGTATTTCCAGTTTCGAGATTTTCGTGACCCCATTGATTTCATACCACTTCCAAAATGATGAGAATTTTAACGAGGAAAGAAATAGATGATGTCACTAGCAGAAATGCTGGAACACCGATGGATCAAGTGCTTCCAAAATACTGCGGACTGCGGATCAAATAAAAAATAAGAAATATAAATTAAATGTAGTTTTAGGAGGTCAGGGGTGGAGCATAGAAGTCACCCCTTACTTCATATCATCTTACTTACGTGTATTATATCCTATAAATATACAGACCTTCTGTTTTCCTGTTTTCAATCTAGCTAAGAAACTGCAAAAAACTCTATCATAACATGTACTTTCCTAAAGCATTTTCTTTAACCTTAGAGAATCAACCTTGCGTGATCGTGATGAAAGTAGGCTTAATGATTGACACAAGCGAACCAAATAAACGAATTCATGGTTCATTAACATTATTTATATTAAACTATCCTTTCAAGCATTTTGCTAGTTTTTATTGTTATTGAAATTAATATTAAAATGTTATTTTAACCGTTCTTTCGTGTTTTCAGCATGATTCGACCTTGAGCGAGAAGCCTAAAAGCAAAACACGACTCGTAAGTGATCATTTCTACTGGGGTATCTATTTTTTATTGTGAATGAAACATCTAACACATATGCCAGTTTTCTATAAAAAGCAACACCAACCTTCAGAAAAGATTCGTAGCTTCTCCCTTATAGAAGCTTTCAATGTTATTTCCAACAATCAGTTTCTGACAGCCTCAATAATAAATCATTTCCAAATAACCAGACCAGTTCAGCACATAACTAGGCAGCGTCATATCAATAATTTGTTTGAATGACTGTATTTGGCAGTCCTGGATTATGTTGGAAATTTAGCGTCAAATCTATGCTATTACCCAATGTCTACATCAAATGCGGATAAGATCCCAAACACTCTAAACAGGAACACTCCATACTCCTATTGGTCATCTCGCAGCACATGTAAAATCGCCCATATCTGTCTGATTGCAGACAGATGTTGGTTATATTTTATTTCTGCAGCAATTAACAAGTAATTATGAAAACAAGCAATAATAGTTATTTGTTATGGTGATAAATAGCTAGATATAAAAGTGATTTATGGTTATTTAATACATCTTGCGATAGGATACGGTGTGATCTATGACCACAGCCATAAATTGAATCAAGTAGCTCGACAATGATTTCCATGCACTAAAGTAACTATAGATCACGGTAAGGCTCAAATGTCTAAAGTAGTAGTAGACATTTATTTACTCCATATGTATAAGAATAATAACAATATAGAATAATAATAATAATATTTATTCACTCAATGTACAAAGATAACAAACAATATGAGTAAATAAATATAAAATCAAAACAGGCCCAATAGAAGGCATCGCCTGTACATGGACCAATAAATTTAAGTTGAAACTGTAGAATGCAAATGACAAAAAAGGACAAAAATTAGCTACAGTCGATTATGTATTTAGTTGATGTTCGTATTTATGAGTTTATGAATTTCAGTCCTAGATATAGAATGTAGCTACTTTTTTAAATTTCTTTTGAAACAATTTCCGAAACGTAAATCTTTTAAGTCTTTAGGTATAATTTCATAAAATTTAGGCGCTAAATAGAGATATGATCGCTGCATTATAGATTTATGCGGTTGAGGAACTACTGTGCCACGAATTTTGTACCTGGTATAATGATTATGTTTAATTTTTTGGTCGGTGTTTACAAATTTATGGTAGTGAGTGATACTGTGTAAGAAATAAAGCTGTCTTATATCATACATTCGAACATCTGCGTATAATTTTTCAGTGGGATAAAGTTTCGGTTTTTTAAATATCATTTTTAGAATACTTTTTTGAAAAACATCTAAATTATAGATATGTGAGGAACAAACAGCTCCCCATGCTAATATACCATATGTGAGATGAGGCTCAATCAGTGCATGGTATAATGTTCGAAGATATTTTTCTGTCAATATATTCCCAAGGTATTTAATTTTGTAGGATACAAATCTAACTTTCTTTAAAATATAATTGACATGGATGTCCCATCGTAAGTGAGGATTCAAGACCACTCCAAGGTATTTTATGTTGGGCACTCTATTAATTTGCATTTTTTGATCATTAATATTGAAGGAGAAATTTGTGTAATTTGGCAGATGTCTAGCATAAGATCCAAATGGTAAAAAATGTGTTTTAGAGTAGTTAATGCTTAATTTTCTACTGTTAAACCACCGAATAATTTTGATAAAATCATTTTCAATTACATTTTTCAGATCAGACCAGTCAGTGCCTTCATATAATATTACAGTATCATCTGCAAAACTAGTTATTTTGCCAACACAATTAATTTGGAAAATATCATTTAAATATATATTGAATAACAGCGGACCTAAGACAGTTCCTTGTGGGACACCACACTTAATATACATTTCTTTACTAAATGATCCTGATATCTGCACAGATTGTGGGCGATTTGACAAATAACTTTCGATCAGTGAGTACGCGTTTCCTCTGAAACCTATTCTCTCCAATGCTTCTAATAATAATTTGTGATTAACTGTGTCGAAAGCTTTCTTTAAATCAACAAAAATGCAGTTTGAAGGGATTCTGTTATCAATATTTTGATGTATTTGATTTACAATTTTAGTTATTGCGTCCGATGTAGCCTTCCCTTCTGTAAATTCATATTGATTTTCACTTAAAATTTTGAATTTTGTGAGGTATCGAATCATTCTAGTAGATAAAACTTTTTCAAAAACCTTTGCTACACTGGATATTATTGATATTGGTCTATAGTTGTTAACATCTGTTTTTGTTCTTGATTTATGTATCGGTATTATATTACCTTTTTTTAAAATTGAGGGATATATGCCAGATTCAAAGCATTTGTTGATTAGGTAAGTGAGTGGTTCTGTTATGTTCTCGGCTATAATTTTCAAATGCTCGCTTTTAATACCATCGAACCCAGGACTTTTCCGATTTTTTAAGGACATAAAAGTGGTGTATACTTCACATTGCTCGACTTTATCCAAAATAAATGAGTTCAAAGTTCTTTTTGGAGGCTGAGTATTTTGTACATTTGCTCGTATATTACTTGCTAAATTTTCGCCTATGTCAGTAAAGAATTGTACAAATTCATCGCATATCTGTTGAGTATTTTTTAATACTGTTCCCGATGTTGTATTTAACTCAGTGACACACTCTTTAACTTTTGTTTTCCCAGTAATCTCATCAATAGTTGTCCAAAGCCGCTTAGGATCATTTAAGTTATTATTCAATTTATTTAGGTAATGTTTTCGTTTGGTTTGCCTTACAAGCTCTATAAATTTATTTTTATATTGGTTGTAGCAGTCGGTATTCTCTGTAGTTGGCGTTAGTTTCATTACATTATATAGTCTTTCTTTTTCTATTGCCGATGTTATTAATCCTTTGGTAATCCAGGCATTTCTGCTTTTCTCTTTGTGACTAATTATTACTTTATTGGTACTAATATCTATTAGTTTTTTTATTTTCTCTATGAACAGTCCCGTTGCTTTGTCTATATTATTTATAGAGTATAATTGTTCTCAGGATTCTTGTTTGACATTTGATATTAGTTTTGAATTGTCGACAAAAAATTTGTAATTTGGGTAAATAGATTAGGATACGACGATGATGATGATAATAATAGAATGATAAACGATAAACCTGAAAAAGGGCAATCCTACCTTACAAGAGCCCGAAATACTACCCTGTCTCTTTTCACTTTTATCACGAAGCTAGTGGCTAGTACAAGGGCTTCAAGGTCAGGATAACTTCAAAACCACTTACTTGGTGACGTAACGACATGGGAGTTGATCTTCTTTACTGAGAGATAGGGTCGACCTTTCAACTATTAGAACAATATTCGAATGTACCAAGATGGCCTGTGCCTCAGTGTGCCCTTTTTTTCACAACAGGCCTTGCTTAGGATTGCAAGTGTCAAGTGAACTTTTTACAGGGTATCTCATAAGCAGACAAATGTCTGAAATGTGTGGGCTTACAAAAGGATTATCAGTAACAACTGAAACTAATTATAGAACTAATATTTCCGAAAATCAGTCCACTGACAGCAATGTTATAAATCACTGGTCGCCAGTCTTTTCAGTGTGTTGAGCTACTTTGATAATTTTGGAATATGAAGAGCAAGCAATGTAAGCCAGCTTACATGAAATTATACACAGTTGTATGCGACATACATGTGTTTATTTGACTAATACTAATACAAACTAGTAAACTTAAATAAACTAATAACTAATACATAATTCATAACTACATCCATTCTTACCAATCTTCATATTTGAAAAAGAAGATTCATATAAATAGGTTGGACTAAATAACGCTTTCACTTTCAAGGCAACAAGACATCAAACTGGATATTTATCTTCACTTACTGAAGGCCAGATACATTTTGTATTTGAAACTAATGATTTTAAAGCTAAACCATTTCTGTCGCAGCGATGTCTCACACAAATTGAAACGATTTTTGAAGTTATCCTCCAGGTTAAAGACTATTTCTACATGATATTTACTGTCATATAGTTCTAATGGACTTTGAGATATCTTTTATGAAAAAACAGGAAAATGCCTGGTATCGCCATAGATTATGCTTGGTTCCAAAACTCAAGCTTTTTGATAAACGTAATTATATCAGAAATCATTTCTCATAGTTTGTTGTCTCTACCCTGAAACTGCAGATTAATTTTTCTGTAATATCCACAAGAAAATCAAAATCTCTAAGCCAGATTGAATAATTTTGAGCCCGAATGAGCTTAACAGGGACTGTCGATACATGTCTTCATCCCGCTGCAGAATTAGATTTTCTGGGAATCAAACGAAGATATGTCCCACTGCGAATAATGTCAAATCCTATTTTACGTAATTCTTGTGTGAGTTCATCAAGAGTTTTTACGCTGCGAATTGATTCCGTTCGTCTTCTATCATCTGCTGCACTCCCAAATAAAGCTACATCCGCGATTGTTTTCAATAGTGAATGTTGATTGCTTTCAAGATTAGGACGTCCCACTGAATCCCTCAGAGATAGCCTTTTTTTTATTTCTGGATTTTCATGACAAATATCTTCTAACTTTCTTTTCATACCATCTCTGTGTTTCTTCTGGGCAACTGCGTTTTGAACCTTCCCGTTTAAAGACTGTTTTGCTGTTTTTATTTCCTCGCGCAACTTAATGATCCGTTTATCAACTTCAGCACGGCTTGGCATAATATCTCTGGCAGAATACAAAGCATTCAGATTTTTTCCGAGTAGAGCAATCTTATTTTTCATAGCTTCCTGAGAAGGTTTTGCTCTCCGTTTATCTGTATTTTCATTAATTTCGCATTGCTGTTGTGATTCATTACAGGGTTTTGTTTTATCTTCTCCCTCTTTTTTAATATTTGAAGCTGACTGTATAATTTGTGTTTTTTCTACAGGTTTACAGGTTGCCTAGAAATAAAATCTTTCTATGGCTTCTGCTAAAGATTCTCTTATTAAGCTACATACATACAAAGTATGGCAATATATATGGTAAATACAAAACCCTATGGCTTTAAATCTAATATGTTTAAAC